CCGCTTTGCGAACGGCCGATCATCTGTTTAAATTGCTGACTTGCAAAGCTTAGGTTACAAAAACACCCGTTTTGTGAGCGGAGGGAGCTGTCAAAATCATCATCTAGTGAAAATCGGTTTGCGAAGCAGGGACCAAACATTGTCCAGTGAAATTCCCCCATAGGAATCACTGTTTTGCGAACCGCTATAGGGATCGCAAAAAGTCAATGTCTAGCGAAAAAACTGTCATGCATGGTAACCGGTCTAGCGAGGCACCACTGTACTTCCGTGGCTCTAGGGATCCTTACTCCAACTCTCCCCAAGAGCCATCATCCGGGCGAAAGTGGAGAGGGGCCATTCAAAAAGGTTGAATGAAGCTGGAGGTGTCCCCTCCCCCATAGGACAAGATGGGTGGCCGACTCTGGCCCTGGTGAGCAAGCGCAACTTGCTCGCCAGATGTTTAGTTTACCCCTTCCAGCATCTGTACACGATGAGCGTGGCTGTCAATCTGGACCTCTGAGCTTCGTTCTGAATGTTAGAACATCTTCCCAGCTTATTGGTGGCCTGAGACCTGGGCTTCAGAGCACGTGCTATCTGACTGCCAATCCCATCATCCCCAACTGTTGCCTCCTTGGGCTGTGCAGACCAACAAGCCTCTAAAGGACTTCGTGATTCCCCACCCCTTCTCCAAAGCATGCACACAGTTCTTTCCAGCCACAACTAAAATGAACCAAATGTTTTTAGACTTAAAACGGGCGAAAATGGCTCTCAGTCAAACTGAACCTCCGTTTTTTTTTTCCTAATTGGGGAAAGTAGCATTCCTCCCCCCCACTCCATGCTCTGAAAATGGCTATTAATTGCTCAGTTTTAAAAACCCACCCTTTTCAGCATCTTGTATATACAGGGTGCATTGGACTTAAACCATGATTTAAATTTAAACTCTGGATTTTTTGGGGGGGGGATGATTTAAATTTAAAAAAAGATTTTTGAACTTTAAATTGTTATTTTAAATCAGCTTGATTTAAAACAACAACAAAAAATCATTGGTGTTTTTATCCACCCTGCTTGGGTGTGGATTTCTAGCATCGGATGGAAGTGAGGGCTGAGCTCCCGGGCCTTTAAATCACAAAGCTGGTTTGTCATGAGGTAGAACTGTCCCTACTGCCTTCTCGCAGCTGTTAAAAGGACAAGCCTTGTTTCACCGCTAGTTTGGGACACTAGCAGACCACTTAGAATGGGCTGTGCACGAACCACAGAAATTTGGGGTTTAGCAAGGATCTGAAGGATCCTGTTCGAGCTATCCTATAGAACTGACATGGATTGGGTTAAAACATCACATTTCTGTGGTTCTCATACCTGGAGGGCTGCCCTAAGTCCCGTCTGGTTTGGCCATCCTAGACGCGCTCCACATTCTGTTAATAAAATGTGAGGGTTCTTTGTGTAGAGATCGCAACTTGGCCAAAACTGTATGTCTGCTTTTAAGACTTTTCCTCTTGTGCACCCTTTGAGGGGGTTGATCCTAGCAGCCAAGAAGGCTATCCAACATGCTTTTATTCAGAATGAACTCTTGTTGTATATATCCACAAAGGCTTTCACGGCTGGGATCTAATGGTTGTTGTGGGTTTTTTGGGCTCTTTGGCCATGTTCTGAAGGTTGTTCTTCCTAACGTTTCGCCAGTCTCTGCGGCCGGCATCTTCAGAGGACAGCACTCTGTGCTCTGGTGCAGTTGGCTTCGGAGCTGAGTATTTATGGCTGTGCGATCAGCTATTGTCCTTTACAGGGGGTGGGTGATTAGTGTGTCTTCTTGTGGGTGTATTGTTGTGATAAGGAGGAGAGATTATCTGTCACTGAGATTGATGGGTGTCATTAGCTGGTCTTTTGTGTGTAGTGATCCCCTGTCTTTGTGGCTGGATAGAGTTCGTTGACCTTTTGCATGCTGTATTTTTCAGAGCTGGAAGCCCAGTTTTGTTGAGTTTCAAACTTCTCTCTTTTTTGTTGAAGTTCTGCTGGTGCTTGTGGATTTCAGTGGCTTCCCTGTGCAGTCTAATGTAATGGGTGCTGGTATTGTCCAGTATTTTAGTATTTTGAAAGAGAATTGCATGTCCAGCCTGTTTTAGGGCACGTTCAGCTACTGCTGATTTATCTGGTTGTTTTAGTCTGCAGTGTCTCTCATGTTCTTTGATTTTGGTGTGGATGCTTCATTTTGTGGTTCCAATATATACCTGTCCACTCTTGTTGTACTTGGTGGGACTTCCTCGTGTGTGTTTACGGAGTGAGAGCCACTGAGAATTTCCCAGCGCGCATCTTCTGTGTCTGAACTAGCTGGATAGATTTAGGTGATACAAAGCTTTGTTCTTTCCACTTCTGCCTCCTCTGTCTGTAACACAGCGATGACCCTCTACATCACAGGTTAGAAAACTAGAAACAGTGACTAAAATGTGAAATACTGGCAAAGCATCTAGGATTTCATAACCCATTGAAATTTTGGCGGTTGAGAAATCTAGGTTTGTGTAAGAGCAGGGACATGTGAGTTATAGCACGATTGCAAAGGGTAGGAAAATATTAAATGTTTGATTCCCACCCTGCCTTCCCTCGCCTGCAAAGGAAGAAGAGGGTTGATTGATTTGTCTTTCCTTTGTGTCTCAAAATTGGATGACGGCTACCCCTCCAGTTTTAAAAGTGAATAAGGCAGATATTCAAGTAACCAAACTGGGCTTTTCCATAACTTCTGCTTTGGCTGCTTTTATGATTTTCTTCCTTCCGCTGTTGTTGACGTGGTTTGTTTTTGAATGCAGTGGCTCTTTCTTATATACCAGGAAACTCTACTGCCGGTTCCTCAACGGATAAACCCAGGAGAATGGATCTGTTGTCTGTCTCCTTTATAAATATAGAAGGTGGTGTTGGTTTTGTCCTTCAGCTTTTTGAATCTTATCTTTTTTCCTGGGCTCCTTGATTTCCAAATGCCTCTTGCATCGTAAGAACAATCAATAACAGTGTGTGTGCTATCAAATAGTTTCTGATTCACAGCAACCTTTTCCAGAGTTTTCTAGGTATTGAGTACTCAGAAGTGGCTTAGGCATGGTGGGGAATCGAACCCCCAACTCCTCGCCCTGCACTGACGTGTTCCAGTTTCAAGGACTGTGTTGGCAAAAGAAAGAAAGAAAGAAAGAAAGAAAGAAAGAAAGAAAGAAAGAAAGAAAGAAAGAAAGAAAGAAAGAAAGAAAGAAAGAAAGAAAGAAAAAGGCAAATTATAGATTGAAATGTGAGAGCTTTTGTGAATCAAACTCTACAGGGGGTATAGATCCGTGCCCTCCTATATTTATTCCATAGTGGCGAGATTCACGTCCGAGTGAAGATTTATGGAATAGGCTAAGAGATAATGGTTCATTGATCCGAATGTGGGACGATCCACGGTTAATTAGCAGATCCTAGTCAAGGCGGTAAGCTCAGCGGACTCAAATCACAAAAGGTTTGCCCTGAAATAAATCTGGAAGACTTTGAAGTGCTATTATGTTCTGCCTTTATTTTCCTTCCCTTTTGTCAACGTGCTGAGAGAGACGAACAGGGCAGCTTCTTTGCAAACAGCTCAGCCAGCGATCCGGACCGCCACTGGCAGCACAAATATAAAATAAAGATTTCTGAAACACAAGTTTTTGTATAGCGTGGAACCTACTTTTCAGATGATTTGAACAGGGAATGTCCTTGACTCAGGTATCTTATCAAAGCAAAACAGACACTTGAGGTGGTACCTTTCAGGCTAAGATTTATTTCTAGGAGTGAAATGTTGCTTTAGACTGGACTTGCCGCTTAGCTTTCACACATCCTTTCTCTCCCTGTATTATTCATAATAACATTTATCTGGCAGGATTTTTGTACTGATTTTTGAGATGATATATATAAAAAAAGTTTGTATTCTTGAGATTGGGGAGTGTGGTAAAGTGGAGGAGTGCGTGATCTGTTGTGCAGTTGTTTCCTTGGGCACAATCTTACATTCGCTCCCCTTTCTTTGCATGGACCTACGGTAAAGGTCAGAGAAGTCATGATTGGATTTAGTTGAGTTGAGTTGGAAGGGGCCTCTAAGG